TTGCAGCACTGAATAGGAATGTATGCGACTTAATGGACCGGAACATTCCCATTCAGATTTTAATCTTATTCACATTTTCCATTTTTATTTCCTTACATCTTTCATAAACATATACCAACTAAAATCAAAATTAAAATTATGTCGGTACCAATTTATCGTTGGAATCGAAGGTGGAAGGATCGTAGAAGAGATTCGTGCTACTTCCCATGGAACAGCTTTTTTTACACACTTTTTAAGGTAAATGCACAAAAGCAACTGAACGGGGCTTCGAACACCGGATTTATATTAAACGGCGTCATTCTTGCACTCTCCGAGCATAATCGTTTGCTTCTTACGCGTTTTTTGCAGCTATGCAATGCAAAACGTATAAAGATTCTCCCCTCACCAGGGAAACGAGGAACACAAGCCCCGTCACATCACCCGATTGCCCTCAACAACCATGCACGAATCGCGAAAATTTTTTTTTGGTGACGGAAGTAAGATCACCTCACAGTGAGTGGTGGGAATTCGAAAGTGGCAGGTGGGTATAGGGGAGAGGAGGTTCATTCAAGACAGGGCAGGCTGGATGGGATGGGTAAATGTAAAGGGTATATGGCGTAGGGACTATGTCGATTGGCTAGGTCACGTACATTTGGACAGAGGATGGACCGGGCGAGGTAATGGTTGCAAAGAAGGAGGAAGTGAGCTGCTGGTTTTTGCCGCAATTACTCTCGGGTAACACTTACGGCTCCGTGAAAATTTGGTAAATTATTACCTCGGGAACCACAAAGTTTACAAAGCTGAAATTTAGGGTAATGACTCCCTTGCCCAAGTACAACCTTACGAATTCAAATTCAGCGTCCCCGCGCTCTCGCGTATCACTTACGGTCTCGTGAAAATTTTGGCGAGTAAACTATTAACTTAGGGATCACGGAAAGATATTCACCTTCCAAGGCTTCAAATTCTGCTCTCGTGTGCCGGTGCGTGAAATTTTCAACTATTTTTCAACGTTTCAACTATTTTTGCATAGACTAAAGTACAAAGCAGTGAAAATCACTGAATCGGCGAGCTGAATTGAACAGAATGCATGATCAGACCGGTTAGTCTGGTGCGCGTTGCTATTTATATACTGTATCACACAGCAAAAAACACATAGAAAAATCCCTCCATTCGTCCCGTAACCCCTCCACTCTCCAAAAACCTCCCCTCACACCCCCAAAAACCTCCCCCCACACCCTGCAAGATCCTCCCCCCACACCGTCCAAAAACCTCCCCCCACACCCCCGAAAACCTCCCCACACCCCCGAAAACCTCCCCACACCCCCCAAAAACCCAACCACACC